CTCTCTCTCTCTCTCTCATCTTTCTATCTCTCTCATCACTTGCCCTGGGGGAAGCTAGCTGCTGTACCACGAAGATGCCCAAACAGCCTTGGACAGGCCAACTGCCAGGAGGAACTCAGACCTGCAGCCAACAGGCATGGGAGGGAACTTTGGAATGAATCCTTCAGCCCCTGCTGAGCCTCCGGATGACCACAATCCTGGTTAACAGCTTGACTGAAACCTAATGAGAAAGCCTGAGGCAGAACCACCCAGTCAAGCTGCTCTGAATTCCTGACCCTCAGAAACCATGTGAGATAATAAATGTTTGTTATTTTAAGCTGTGAGGATTGGGGGTAATTTGTTGCACGGCAATAGATAACTAACACACCGGCATCCACATGCAATCAGCAGGTGGAGAAGAAAGAGATGGACATGATGGGAAATTTATGGATCAGACCTGGAAGTGGAGCCCAGCTCTCTTGCCTCCTATACTCCATTGGTACGAACCAGTCATAAGAGTATGACCTCCATGAATGGGAGGCTGGGAAATGTAGTTTCTCCATGGGCACTATGCAAGGGGAACACAAATTTTTGGTGGTCCACTGACTGACCTTCCTCTGCCAGGGGAACTCCTCTTCATCATGACCCAGTTCCAATGTCACATCTTTAAGGAAACCTTTATTAATCCAATAGCCCACTCCACTCCTCAGTGCCAAATCTCTCTCTACTAGCTCTTCATTGAAATGTGTAAAATTAGGGTTAGGGTTGCGTTTGCTGCTGTACATGTCTGCTTCACCATCTACCTACATCCTCCCAGAACCCTGCTTCCTGGGGAATTAAAAGTGTATTTCAGTATTGTTTCTGGCATTTTCTTCTAAGCTGTTGATCTCTGCTTGGCACGTTGTGAAGCTGGTACTATTTTTTTTTTTTTAAGATTTTATTGGGGAAGGGGAAGTGTTGGGGAATTGGGGAAGGGGAACAGCCAAATTGTTGTCCTTCAATTTTAGTTGTGGAGGGCGCAGCTAGCTCAGCTCCAAGTCCAGTCACCATCTGGCCACTCGTTGGCAGCTCATGGTCGCTCAGCTCAAGGTGCCGTGTTTAATCTTAGTTGCAGGTGGGCGTAGCCCACCATCCCATGTGGGAGTTGAACTGGCAACCTTGCTTGTAGGAGCATGTGCTCTCACCAGCTGAGCCATCCTGCCACTGTTGGCAGCTCAGCTTGGCCGCAGAGTCACTGGCCCATGTAGGAATTGAACCGGCAACCCTGTTGCTCAGAGCTTGAGCTCTTAACCAACTGATCCACTTGGGCGGTCCTGAAGCTGGTACTTTGGATGTCCACACACACGCAGGCAATGAAAACTTATAAGACCCCATAGATTATAAGGTGCATCCTGACTTCAGAGATGTTAAAATGAGTCCCTTTGATCAATGAAGCAGTGTATGTCTGATATTCTTCCAGTCTAATTCATTTTGCCCTTTCATGCATTGCAGGTGGCTACTTGAACTCGCCAAGACAGGGCTACCACTTAGAGCTGTAGTATTTTGAAATAGTCAGCATGAAAATGTTCAACTGGGTTTGAAATCCATTTTCCTGATCACAAAACCTTGCAACATTACTTATGTCGATGAAAGAAAAGATGTTAGATTAATTTTTAAACATTTTACTGGAGTATATGAAATATAACATACAGCATACATAAATAAAATGTAGAAATATGGTGCATTAGTTTCCTATGTTTGCTGAACTAAATTACTCTTATGTTGATGCCTTAAAATAACAACCATTTGGGCTGACCAAGTAGCTCAGTTGGTTAAGAGTTGG